ACCCTCAAATCCTCTGTACCATTATATTTCTACTCTGGCGACCGTCCATCACAAATAATACATACCAAACTACGTCATTATAAAAGTCAACTAAACGCTCACAAATTCTTAATGCACATATCCGACAATCCATCCTGTTCATGCGGCCACACCTTTGAAAATTCTGAACACTTTCTTCTCTACTGTCGCAACTTTTCAAAACAACGAAACAATACAATTAATCTTCTCCCTATTCATTTACGTTGCATATTAACACTTCTTAACGGCAATCCAAAATTATCTTTAGAAACAAATCTGTATATCTTTCAAACTGTTCATAACTTTATATCATCTACAAAACGTTTTGACACCTAGCTAACGCTGTCGAAGTATGGCCTCCGTTTTAAAACGAAGATTATTTTATTTTGATTAACGATAAACACCCTCATCCCCTCTCAACTATTTTCATTTGTCATTATCAATAACATTTTATTCACCAATGAATTTGTTCGGCCCTATTCCCTTTCCTTTTGTAAATATGTTTGTCACTTCCTGTTTTGTTTCCAATGTACATTTCGCTGCTGTCAACTCCTATATTATGTAAATTATACTTTTATCAACTGTAAATATTCGTATTGGTAACAGATTTATATAAGCTTCGGCTTGTTTCTGAAACCAACATTAATCTATAGCATATGTATGATTTTGTAAATTATCAATAAATATTGTTTAAACAAAAAATATTTTAAGTGAAGATCTTCATTATAAGATAATCTATGACTATGATTCCTATGATTTTTTTTTTTCCATTTTCAATAAAGGCACTTGACTTGAATACTGCAGAATAGCTTATTTAAAGGTTTAACTTAATACCTCTCAAGGTGCTGTCTCTTGGTTGGAGACTTTTGTCACTGAGTCTTGTCTTGGGTTTCAACGACTGGCACAGGCACACGACGAGACAAAAATCTCCAGTTGGCCGTTTTCCACCTTGTCGATAATCACGTGCGGATGATGCAATTGACGCGAAAATGAATCTGATTGGATGATGACAGTCTGTCTTACAGACAAATAAAACTTGTTTGATATTATAAATCATGTCTGCAACACGATAATCTTGTCGTGGAAGCACCGGCTCATGCACAATTTTACTCAAGATTCGAGTCAAAAATCTCCGACCAAGACAGCTGGTGTGCCCGAACCTTTAGAATGACAAAAAAAAAATGCCAAAATAAGCCTTTGTTCATGGACTTAAATAATTCATTAAACTATAAATAATTATAGAATCATGCTCAGAAGCGTTTTTCAATAATTACCTAGTTAAATGGATATATCGTCTTATATAGAGATTCTATCGTTTAGTCATGGCACCTGGTAAGTCCATCTGATCAATATAAACACTTGTTGACCAAGTTTAAGACTTTAAATATTATGTCAATTCTAAGATGTAGTATCCTTTTAAAGTTAACAGAATTTCGCTACTGAGTACAGAACTTCAGACCACTACTAATTCAACAAACTGAGATTTGACAATCTATAATTTGAGTCAAACCTCTTATTGTGATTGTGCCGTGTACAATCTAATTAAAATTAGACCAAACTTTCATTCCGTTCCATTGACGTCTGCTTTAACCAATCAAATTTCTTCCCTCTGACATAAGATTAGGTCAAAAGGTTAATTTGACAAACGTTGAAGAGGGCTGTCATTAGGACCTTACCTGAGGTGGCTATATTAAAAATGTAAGCTAATAAAAAACGAAACGAAAGTTTTGTCTTATTTTAATTACACTGATGCCTTGTACATATTTATCAGGTTTTTTTTGAAGATGGATTAAAAAAAATGCAGATATTGCATTTGTAGCATCTATAAATCGAATAAACTAAAGACAAGAGCTTAATTTTCACTTCCTTCAAAATCTTTTCCAACAAAAATTCTAAATCATTCATTTTGTTTACAGATTTCATTAAAATAAAAGCAAATCTCATTATTCAAACACAACCTTGATTTATTATGTTTCTTTAACCCACTTAAAGATGGGTTCCCTTATTTTGATTTATGAAAATGCTAACAGAAAGTAGAGGTGTTCTAATTACTTTGAAAAATACCAGTTTGTCTCACATGTCCATAATTAATTCATAATTAGCTGAAGTAAAATTACCAGCAGAATTTCAATGAGTGACTGATCAAGAAAGGTTAAAAAGTCTTTTTTTGTTTATCCAGACTGTAGATACATAGCCATTTATGTTTAGTTAAAACTCTTAATTATATGTAATAAGAACATAATGATATGATTTAGAATACATGATAATTCATTAGAAACACCAATTAATCAAATAGTTTGCTTAATTTGACACTAAAAAAATAAGGAAACCCATCTTTAAAGCTTTATTCAATTGTCAGCCAAACTACTTAAAGATTCAAAATGATTCAATAACATGCTATATTCAATTTGTTATCTGTATTTCAAGTAAGTTATTCCTTGAAAACCCACAGTGGGAAGATAAATTCAAGCCTTTTATTTCCCTAAATACACTTAGCAAATTATTTAAGAAAATAACAGATTTACATTTGAAACCCCTTGAAATGTTGCGTGTTGATGTTCCCCGGGAAGAAGCCATATTGCATTTCGTTAAGTTTCAACAGAGACTGGAGACATATGATGTCACTCAAAATATAAGATTTCTTTTGCATTACATAATATCCATAGCCTATTTTTCATTTTTCAAGAACATTAAAGATGGGTTCCCCTATTTTTATTTTTGAGAATGAGTTTAAAAATATTTTCGGTTCCATTATAGTGTATGATTTGTTTTTTTTTACAGTTAAAATAAACAGATTTAGTTCCTAGTGGTTATATTTGTAATACCATTTCTAATTGATTTCACCCTCAAATTACCAAATTTAGAGAATGTATACAGCAGATCTTGAGTTGTCAACATAATGTGATCAGATCAGGTTACATGGCCAGGCGTCTTGGATTAAGAATGCTAATTGAGACAGCTAGTTTGGGAATTAGGGTAACATTCCATAGTAGGAAAGGTATGAGCTAAACATGCCATCTCGCTAAGTATACTTCAGATGTAAAAGTGATTCAGTAACTCTACATTGGTTGTCAATAGAACACCAGCTTTGTCCTTGAGTTAAGTTTGGTGAAAACGAGCACATTTTGAGAAAATTTAACAGCTTCTTGAAAAGAAATCACTACTCTATTAACAAGGACACAATTGCTAATATTAACTTGTACATCCTTTCACTGTCATTGGACCTCATATCCTGTTTCTAAGGAGCAAATAGAAGTAAATCAATTCATTTTAGAATCTTTCAAAGTGTTACTGAAGCAATTGGTATATCAGTTATATTTCTAGCAAACAGAGCATTGATATGAATAATACTACGCTTGTCACTTAAAGATGGGTTTCCTTATTTTTTAGTGTCATTTTAAGCAAACTATTTGATTAAGTAGTGTTTCTAATGAATTATCATGTATTCTAAATCATATCATAATGTTCTTATTACATATAATTTAGAGTTTTAACCAATTACAAATGTCCATGTATTACAGTCTGGATAAACAAAACAAACTTGTTGACCTTTCTTGATCGGTCACTTATTGTACTTCTGCTGGTAATTCTCTTCTAATTAAGCTAATTATGAATTAATTATGGACATGTGAGACGAACTGGTATTTAATAAGTCATAAGAACACCTCTACTTTCTATTCATATAAGTTTTAACATTTTCAATTTCATAAATGAAAATAAGGGAATCCATCTTTAACATGACCGACATTAGGAGGAATAAAATTGTGTCTGCAATGTCCAATATGGAATACTTCCTGGTAATCAACCAGTTATATGGAGGCGGAATTACACTTCAATGTTCAAATAAAGGATAGTATCAAATATTGACACATTCAATACCCTTCTTAATTACTATCTAATGTAATTTAAGTGAAAAATGGCATTACTTACTGGTGCAGTGAATATCAAGTTGTTTTAAAGGGCCTATTGATTATTTACCAATAATTATTAAGATGTAAATCATATAGCACTTTATTAATGCTTTATGAACACTTTATTAATGCTTTAAAGAGACTATTGATATTTACCAATAATTATTAAGATCCTAAATCATATAGCTCTTTATTAATGCTTTATGAACACTTTATTAATGCTTTATGAACACTTTATTAATGCTTTATGAACACTTTATGAACACGTTATTAATGCTTTATGAACACTTTATTAATGTTTTATGAACACTTTATTAATGCTTTATGGACACTTTATTAATGCTGTATAAACACTTATTAATGCTTTATGAACACTTCATTAATGCTTTATGAACACTTTATCAATGCTTTATGAACACTTTATTAATGCTTTATTAATACTTTATCAATGCTTTATGAACACTTTATTAATGCTTTATTAATACTTTATTAATGCTTTATGAACTCGATGTTGTGTGAGTCTCTTGCTAGAAGTTATGTAATTGATAAGAAATGTCGCTCATAAGTGCTTATGTTTGCATTTTCACCAACAATAAGACTCAGACTGTCATTTCAATATTGAAGTTGATATTTTATAACAGTTTATACAAATATTATCAGCAATTGAAAACACATCAACAATAGTCAGTGTTTAAAAGTTGTATAGATGCTTATTAACATTAGAATCATGTATATAATTTCTATTAAACTGAGGATTAAGGGGATAAGTAGAGTCAATGTCAATCTTCTACTGTAAACAAAACTGGATTCCAGTTATTCTTGTTATTATTTTTCATTTCTTTTTTGCTTTTATTCCATTGTATGCCTGGATGTAAGGAAATCACATAAACAAGTCTCAATACATATATTATAGTGCCATGTAACAGAAAAACACAAGGGAATATATTATGGTATAACACGCTTCTTTAATAACAAAATACATAACATTTCAACACAATTTACACGTGTTGTCATCAGATGAAGAAGAAAGAGGGAGTAAACATGGGAATATAAAGCAAAAAAAAAGGTGTTAGCCATGAAGTAGCAATTAAGAAAAGCAGGTAATAACAGAACAACAATGAATCTAATGTCGATGAAATGTCGTTCAAATCTTATTACAATACCATTTAATGAATATTGTGCTTCAGAATAACTTGTGAGTTAAACGATCGTCTAGTAGTCCAAGGTCCAATCCCCACAAAGTTTAGATGATACCTTCAGATTTTCCACCTTGGTTTTACCGTGTCAGTGATGATCTCTTAACCTACAGGGAACATCAACTGCAACGTCAGTTCTCGTGCTCTGCCTATGGAATGATTCTGCTGTGATTTTAAAAGAAGTTGTGAAACCATGGGAATTTTATGTCATTTGGATGATCAAAAAAGTTTGACACGTTTTTTTTTTTTCTCTCATTTCAGTGTTCATATGGAAAAAGCAAAAACATTATGAGTTACAGACGATCGAAGCAGGATACAGCACGACCAGCTGCTAGTACAAATCAAAAGATAGCAGTGTCAACAACTTCTTAACAGGTTGGTTTCACAATAAAGTTCCTTACGAAATTACGTATGGTTCTAACATGGAAATAACACTGCCATTTTCTACCAAGTCAAATTTTGACAAAGATTATACTATTTCAACTTAGCCTTCAAATTATTTTTAAAGTTTTAGAAATGGCTTTAAATGTGATTTTAATGCTTATACCCTCTTTTACACTAGGCCCCGATAAAGAGGCTCCGCTCAAAACGTCTGTTTACACTGGCGTTCTGTGATCTGGACCAGGCCCACTTTAAATGGAAATAAGGGTGCGCTCTCTAATTAAAAAGATTACAAAAAAAGGTTCACGAGGAGTCAAAATGGCAAACAATAACAACACTAGTAAAATTGAAGTGGGCCAGGCTCCGATCCAGCGATGCCAGGCGATGCCAGGCCCAGATTAAATTGGCTTGCTTTATTCCGTTTACACTAGTAAAATTGAAGTGGGCCAGGCACCAATCAGGGCCAATGATGTCATTTGCTTGGTTGAATTGTGGTCATAGGATGTAATCTCGGACAGCTGGTGATCTCGTTACTCTACTCGACCCAGCAGTAATTTGGTATGATATATCAATGCCAAAAGGATTTAATGATAGAAAGCTTCCTCATGAACCTTAGTTGTTATCCTTTTGAAAACAGTTTTTCTTTCTGTTGCTTTTAACCCACACAAGAGTTTTAAAGGAAACAAATGAAAATTCTCTGGGGCGAAACGTTCTTTGACATGTATAATTGATGTTTATGTTTGTTATGTTTCAATGATTAAAGTACCTTATAAATGGCCTGTTAATATAAAACAATGCTTCACAAAACTGTCAAATATCTTTGTTCATACTTACACAATGACAATTCATACTTTTTTTAAAGGGACATTCCAGTTTTTTTTTTTTTTGGTAGTCAAAAATTTTTGTTGCTCAAATTTGTGAAAACTCTAGAGATATATGTCGTTTATATCTGAAGGTTTTAACTAAAAAAATCCAGCCATTGATTGTTTAACGCCAAAACTGTTTAAAAACTCACGTAAACTTTGAAAGTTTGTTATGCTTTTTGGAAGCTGTAAGAAAACTGTTAAAGCAGAATTTAAGGCACCTAATTGGGCTTATGCTTACAAATAAAACACCACACAGTGTGCAATGGGGGAAATTTTGTACTGTCAAAAGATCTTAACATGTACAGTGTATAACACAATTGGTGTTTTGTACCATGAATATATAGATTTAGTAGTAATTGGCCAACACTTAAATTACACATGACTTGAATATCAAGATATAGTGATTTATTTCATGCTATGTCTTAAACTTCAGTTCCATTCATCAGAGTCAATGGGCCTATTGTTTAACAGTGGTTTACCACGATGAATGAAATATAAATCAAAGAGACTGTGGTATTGTTCAAGTTAATTTTATTGTATTACCATCTTGACAGTAATTTTACATTATCTTCTTACAGGCAGTCTACTGAGATCAATCAGAATATGGATGGTGTATCGAGCAGTCTGGAAAGCAAATACAGCCAGATTTAAAGTTATTCAAGTAATCAAATCGTAGAAGGGTTTACACTCATGTGAACCACAGACCAGTCTTTAATCATGTTTATCAATGAATCATTTTTGTACGATTTTAACGACTCTCTTGGGTTTCCAGTGGACGATTCCATCGATTCGATTACCAGATTTCACCAATGGTTTTCTAATTTCCATGGTTATGCCAGTATTATAGTGTGTATATTTGGCATCAGCACCAATATATTCAATATATCTGTTTTAACACGAAAAGATATGAGAACTCCTACCAACATCTTGCTGACGTGGTTAGCTGTGGCTGACATTTTAACGATGGTGCCATACATTCCGTTTGCCATTCACTTTTATTGTCCGAATACATCACCATTCGAGACTCCTGAGAAATACACGTATAATTGGATACTTTATATGATCTTCGTAGTCAATAGTGCCGCTACAACTCACACTATTTCTAATTGGTTGGGTGTTTCATTATCAGTGTTCCGCTTTATGCAGATGAGATCAACGAGTCGAGGCGTTCTAGCCAAACAACGTCGCTTAAAACATGTGAAGGTAATAACCGTGGTTGTGTACATTTTCTCAATCATTGTTCTAATTCCCAACTATCTGACTAACAAAATCCAATCAGTTCAAGGCCCGCGTAATACGACCATATATGGATTAAAAGACATGACACCGAAAGATCCCAGCACCGACAAAATGGCTTTGATAAATACTTTACTTTATGCAGTGGTGGCTAAAATTGTACCGTGCCTTTTAATGTCTATATTTAGTGTGTCTTTAGTATATACAATACATTACAAAAATCGACATCGCATGCGCAGGCTTGTGGCTGCTGGGAAAAAATCGAGGGCCATCTCTAAACAAACAACTACAACCCGAATGTTACTAGTTGTTATAGTCTTGTTTCTTATTACCGAACTTCCACAAGGCATTCTTATTCTCGTTACAGCTGCCATCCCTCAGTTTCATAACAACGTATATAACCTTCTGGGTGATCTAATGGATTTTATTGCCTTATTAAATAACGCAATCAATTTTGTGCTTTATTGTAGTATGAGCCAGCAATTTCGCTCCCGGTTCATTGAAATGTACTTCATGCGGAAACGAACACATAGACCAGTAGAAGACACTGTGACAGCATCGGCTGGTATTAATCTGACTGAACACACAGCGAATGCCTCGAAAGCATTCTAAATTTTTTTTGTGCCATAAATCGTTTTCATCATTTAAGTGTGTTGGATTCGTGTAACGAAATTTGTTTCTGATGTCATGGAATTCACCTTTTGGTATCACATTCTGTAAATCATGGGATGGTGAAATGACCCAAATACAGTTTTTAATTATGTCTCTCCATATACATGTAATGAGATGATTTTTTGTCGTTTTTTTCTGGACTCTCGGGTCAATGAAGACACTATCTGTGCCCTGACCAGTGGCTTTACTACCATAGGAATTGGTTTAACCAAGTCCACCCCCAGAAAAAATGCTGGAGAGCGTATGTTGTAAAAACATTCCCAGGTTGGGCCCCAATCACCTAGTTGAGCCACTGGCCCAGTCCAGAGATTCTAAAAAATAAACATCCAAGCAAAGGACTGAAAGCAACAATTTACAAAATTTGTTTATTTATAATCGTTTTTGTTCAGAAAACTGTGTCTACTAAAATTAACACAAAATAAAGTTAACGAAAGAAAGCGCTCGAGTTTGACTGGAAACATCTCTAATCAGATTTAATAAAAGATTTGATCTGATTTAATTTAAAGAGAACAACATGACATTTCTTTTTTTTATTTTAAAATTATAGAGAAATATGTCATATAAAAGTATATAAAAAATCAAGTACTTTGCTTTAAAGTGCAAATTCACATTAAAAAAAAACTTGTTGACTTTCTATGAAATATCTCTAATTAGAAGGACAAATGCGTCATTTTTCACTAATCATACTTTAGTCTCAGAAACAGGAATTTTTTTGCTAAGCCAATCAGTAATAGTGTTCACAGACGAAATTTGAGCCTTCAAATCCATGTGTGTTCAGAATTATCTGCATTAAAGGTTAAAAGGACGAGCCATATATGAAAAAGAAATAGGAAAAGAAATTCCTAATTTGAGATATTTTGGAAGGAATTATGCGATTTTTGAACATTACTAGTACTTCTACAGACTACTTACATTAAACATTGAAATCAACCACCAAAATGGCGAAAAAGTGCTTTGATTTCTTAAAATCAACAGAAATCCAGACTAAAAATTAAGATCATTTTGTAGAGCAAATTTGAAGAGAAATTACTATTGATCAAAAACCAAAAGGACATTTGATCGTTTTGTAAGCAGGAAGCATGGATCAATCAAATGCTTTATTAAAATTTCTACTTAACCAAATTTGAACGATCTCATCTTGGAGAATTCTGAAATACCAGATCTATAATTTCGATTTAATATTATCTTCAAAGATAACTGACAACTCACTTGAGTGGGTTTGATAAAACATATCATTCATTCTGAATATTCATGGTCTACTTCATTCATTGGTTTTATTGATTCATTCATTCTCTCTATCATAGAATGTTGTCATTTGTATTGATGCATTTCATTTATCAATAAAACTGTTATATAAACACATATATTATTTATCTTATATCAAATGAAATGAAATGAATGGAGTTCTGCACCATGTGGGCTAATGAAGACTGGCAATTCCATGCAGTGTGCAATGAGGGAAATTTTGCCAGGACACCGGCATAAGCCTGCTCTTTTCCGATTTCCAACTGTCGAGGGATCATTAACGTGCACAGCCTGTAGCACACAGGGCCTCGGTTTATTATCCCATCCGAACGACTAGACGCTTTTTCCATGTCAGCCCCTCTTACCTGCATCACTGACAGGGGGCAACAGGGTTGAAAAATCAGAAAGTATTATCTCGACCTATGCTGGGATTGAACCCTGGACCTTCAGGTTAGCGAGCAAGCGTCTAACTCACTGAACCACTGCGACTCCCTTATCGTACATCAAGAAAGAAAATTAAATGAAGTGCAATGGAGTTTTACATTCCCCATTTCTGAAACTAATTGGGCTGATAAAATGAAATGAATGGAGTTTTATGTCTTACTTTTCTGCACCATGTGGGCTACTGAAGACGGGCAACGCCATGCAGGGTGCGATGAGGGAAATTTTGTCATCTCCAAGAATTAAAATGATTTTAATTTATTAACTTATGCCATGTGGAAGAACATACAGCCCCATATCTTGAAGCTTAGTTCATGCTTCTTCTCTTAATGGTTATTTTTGACATCTGTTTCACCAAAATCAACATTTGTTTCATCAAAAAACAAAATCGTCACTTCTTTTACCAAAATCATAATTTATTTCATCAAAATCATCATTTGTTTCTCAAAATCATCATTTGTTTCATCAAAATCATCATTTGTTTCATCAAAATCATCATTTCTTTTATGAAAATCATTATTTCTTTAATTAAAATCATTATTTCTTTCATCAAAATCATCATTTATTCCACCAAAATCATCAAAATCATCATTTATTCCACAAAAATCATCATTTATTCCACCAAAATCATCATTTGTTCTATCAAATTCATTTGTTCTCTAAATCAATAATTATCAAGTAATATGGATGAAGGATTATGACATCTGTTTGGTTTTTCATAGTATAAAATTGCCCTGGGCAAGATATTTGCTTTATGGACAATTCATCTTATATACAATAGTAATTAGTTAGTTCTTAAGCCCTAGGCCATACATTCATTTCCACAAGAAATAATTGGCCGCTGGGCTTCATTTTGGCCTTGGATTTGCGAAGAAGACCGAATAATGCAAAGTTATATTCATTCCACTATCCTCACGAGTTCATTGATATATTTATCCCCATCTTCACAATGTCAAGCTATTACAAACTTAGTACTTATACCTCGACTGCAATGACCACCTTTCTTGTGTCACGGAAGTTTGTCATTGAAAGTATTCAATTGGATTGTACGCTTGAGAATACAGCCAATCAGAGGCCTCAAGAGAAAGTCTGCGAACACAAAGACATAAGTTTACAGTCTTTCTGTCGATGGCTCTGATTGACTGTATTCCCATGTGTACAATCCAATCCATCACTGTAGACCATTTTCCATATATACAGTATTGTATTGCAGTGTGTAAGTCAAAATGACCCGTATGCAATCCAATATTTTTCTATGATTAGCCAAAATTAAAATAAATCACAACGATCTGCAAATCAAATTAAATTGAATATCTTTCAAAATAAAATTTCCGTCAAATTTAGAAATATGCCACAACTCTCAAATCAATATTTAACACGATTAGCCAAAACTGAAATTTGGTGTAATATATTGCTAATAAAATTTGTCTATCTACATTGAATGTGGACCAATTCTTGCAACAGAACTTCATTTGAATTGCAAAGAGAAAATGAAACAATAAGATCTTAATGTTAAGTGTCTGCTAGCATTATCATTATTCCCTCCTTACTCTCAGTATGTAATAGATTATCACACTTTTGTTGCATCAAGAATCATCAGTGGTCCCTTAGAACATTATGAACTTCTCTCGCACTTAAAACCAGATGTAGAACAAAATGATAAAAATAATAACTCTATTATGTTCTCATAGTCAAGCCTAAAAGACCCCAAAAGAAGACAAATTGGAGAATATAACAAACATCAACAATTAATTGAATGATGAAAATTTAAAATAAGATGAATTGAATGGAGTTTTACGTCCTACTTTTCTGCACAATGAAGATCGCTAAATTTTGCCAGGACAGCGGCATTAGCCTCCTCTTCATTTCCAACTGTCGAGGGATCTTTAACGTGCGCAGTCTGTGGCACACAGGGCCTCGGTTGATTGTCCCATCCAAACGACTAGACAGTTGTTCCATGTCAGCCCCTCTTACGTAAATCACTGACAGGGGGAAACCAGGTTGAAAAATCCAAAGGTATCAACTCGACCTCTCGCAGGATTGAACCTTAAACCTTGAGGTTAGCGACCATGAGTCACTGCGGCTCCTTCCCCTTGTCAAGACCCCAAAAAGAAGGCAAATTGGAGAATACAAGTCTAACTGGACACAATTATAGGGATAACAATTACTTAAATAAATAACTTGTGCCGTTTCCACGATGATGCTTTCGTCATTATCATGCAATTAATGACATCATCGAACAATTGCAGGAACCACAGACATCTGATTGAAAATTGGAATGGTGCAGTGTTTCCTATACACATAAAAAAATTTAGAAAACTGTTTTACAATCCCTTTAACTTGTCATCTACCAACCTAACATTTAGCCACAAGTCCTCTTTAATCAACACTTGAACCTACAAGAGAAATCTTGTTGGAATGTCGTGTGATATGAAAAGACTGATTGTAATTCACTAACTGTATTATGTGCTAGTCTCCAGAGGACAAGTGAGCTATAAATTAGCAATAAGTAAGCAAATAATCCAACTCCTGTGGGAAATTGTTGACGAAAAACATCCACACATGTGACACATGCCTTTTGCCAAGAATCATAATGAACTTGTCGCTGTTCTTTTGTTGGCACGTTCTTATTTGTAGTGTTGTAGATAGCAAGTGTGGCACCAGTCAGGGTATTCTTACTCTGATATTCTTACACCTGATATCACTTTTCATTATGAAATACTTATCCACTAATTTTTATATACTTCCTCATGTGAAAAATTCATTAGCTGCTACCTATATTTCGGATTTCAAAATTTATATCTTAAGCCGACTCATCTTCACAATATCAAACTATTACAACCTTTGTCTAATACCTTGATTTATTGAGCACTATTTTAACAGTGGTATTTCTATATGACTCTACAATTGATGTATTGAACACTATTTTAACAGTGGTATTTCTATATGACTCTACAATTGATGTATTGAGCTCTATTTTAACAGTGGTATTTCTATATGACTCTACAATTGATGTATTGAGTACTATTTTAACAGTGGTATTTCTATATCACTCTACAATTGATGTATTGAGTACTATTTTAACAGTGGTATTTCTATATGACTCTACAATTGATGTATTGAGCACTATTATAACACTGGTATTTCTATAT